ACAGATACTCCCGGTGCGGCAGCCACGGCTTGTGCTTGGGGTTCTCCTCGTGCACCTTGCGGTTGCTCACCCGGAGCCAGCCCTTGCACAGCGGGACCGGGTCGCCCGCGGTGCCGGTGTAAAATATCTCCTTGCCTTCGGCGTCGAGGTGTCGGAGCGTCAGGAACAGATCCATGTCCACATCGTCGTTGCCCGGCGTCTCCGGCGCCACCGACACATTCAAGTGCGCGACGACGTGGCCGGTGATCTCCGTCTCCTCCTCGAACGGAGCACTGACGAAATGCACATATTTCGGGTTGTCGAGGGTCCCGAGGGCGTCGTAACTGACCTGTTCCTGCCCACCGGCAACCGGCGTGTCCTTGGACAGGGCCTGGTTCCCAGACAGGTAGAACTTGGTGTACTCCGTCCGCGGAATAGGCCAAGCCTCCTCCTCCCGCTTCTCATACACCTTCTCCTTCTCCGCATTGTTGAACCCGACATTCCCCTTCCTCAGCGTCACCGTCACGGGCGCCACCTTCCCCGGGACACTCCACCCAACCCTATCCTCCCCCTTGAGAAAAGCATCCAGAAAGCTCTTCTGCAGCTCCACCTCCTCATGATAGTAAAACGGCAAGTCATGCCTCCCCGTAATGAACCTCAAATACTTGAGCCTCGACCCAGCATTCATATACCCCATCACATTCCCCCTCAAGTGCAACAAGATCCCCCCCCAGTTCGCCACACTCAGCACCGGCACCTCGATGTCCTCCAGCCGGAACTCCTTGCTGGCGTAGTACTCATCGTCCCTGAACCGATTCGCCTCGTTATCCCTCGTCTGGTCCCTCCGGTTCGCCACCAGCGCCTCCTCGGGCAGGTTCCCCTCGAGCGTCTCCTCCTGGCCGCGCGCCCCCGGGCCCTCAGGCGGGAACACAATCTTGGACCGCCCCGCGCGCCCGTACTGGTTCGTCAGCACCTGCCGGTTCCACCACACGTTGATGAACTTGTCCGAGTAGATGCCGCCGTGCCGGCACCGGTCGCGGTAGTAGTCCGACATGCCCTCCCAGGGGATGATGGCGGCGAGGCCCTTGGGGCGGCGGGCGGCGACGCGCCACTGGGAGCCTGTCACCACCTCTGGCATCAGCACAGCCCACGACCTGAGCCAAGAGGAGGGGGGGACGAACCAGCATAATACGAAATCCCAAGCAGCCCCACCTTCCCGCTGCACCACTCTTGTTCCGCGCACCACTCGACCACGTCAAAGAAGCACTCGCTCGTCCCCGCGCTCATCGTGTCCAGCACGCCCGGGCTCTGGCCCGTGCCGCGCTCGTCGGCGCGCACCACGGCGTAGCCCGCGCGGCACCAGTAGACGGGGTCGGGCGTCTCCCATGCCGAGTGCGGCGAGCGGTGCTCGGGGTTGACCTCGGCGAAGGAGCCGGCGAAGAAGGACGCGTAGGGAATGTCCTTGCCGTAGGGGCCGTAGGTGACGAGGACGGGGTACTTCTTTTGCTCCTCGGGGGTGGCGGAGAGGGGGAGGTAGAGGTTGGCGCGGATGGGGAGGGGGGAGTTGCGCAGGGGGATGGAGATGTTCTTGTGGAGGGTGAGGCCGGAGGAGGGGTCGGGGTGGATGGTGAGGAGGTCGCGGACGGGGAGGGTGTTGGGGTCGGCCATTTTGGAACCCATTTTGGGGAGGCTGGCCACGGCGAGGTGGTCGTGGTGGTGATGGGCAATGGGATGGCTGGATGGGGAGGTGTTGTGTAAGTCGAGAGCTCGAGACTCGAGAGGTCCCCCCTCCCCTCCCCCATCGGAATGACCGGAATGTGGTGCGGGAGGTGGGGGCGGGGAATGCCCGTGTGAACCCCTGAATTCCCCCACAGTTCGCCCCTGTTGGGCATTGCTTGCAGGGGATCGGATCGTCCCGGTGGAGGTGGAGGTGGTCTCTCCGCTCTTCACCGCAGTTCATCAGCTCTCGGCCCCGCTGCCTTGGCTTCTTGGGGGCCTCTGAGCTTCCGGTGGGGGAGGCCATCTGCTTTGTCTCATGGGAGGGGACTCTACGGAGTACGACTCCCATTGAGAGTTGGTCGGGTTAAGGATAAACTTGCCCGTTGAATTACAATTCCTTCGATATTCCTCTGGACCTATCTGACCCGAGAGTTGACACTGGGCAGTCTTATTCCATCATATACAAACTAAAACTCTTGCAAACTCCAAGTGTGTAGGTAGACTGCGTATGTTCGTGACTCTGGAATCAAGTGCTCTCTAAACCCCACATGCAGACCCCTCCTCGATAGGTATCTCCTCTCCTCCAGGCAAACTCTTCCCCTCCCAGATCAACTTCCATCAAGTGCCCCCCAAGCCCGCCCATGCCAGAACCCCCTCCCACAAACAACACCTCACGCCTCCCCTCCAACCGGCGACCTAAACACCCCATCATTCACCCTCCCCCCCGTCTTGCGCCAGAGCCAGGCGACCGACTTTGAACTCTATCAGCATCCCATCATCCCAAACCACTGCAGTCGAAACATCACGAAGAAGAAGAAGAAGAAGAGACCTACCGACTTGAACCAAACCCCATGCATCATCATAAAAACAAACGGCGACTGTCCGCTATGCGCGCCCCACGGCCTCAACTCGGCGTCGAGGTTCCTGTTGACCGGCCGGTGAGGCGGGACCTGGCGGTATGAGGATTCCCACCCGGGGGGGTTATTCGGGTTGTTATACTGCGTTGGCCGTTCCGGCGATGGATATTCGACATGCAGTGGTGATGGCGACGGGGAGCGTGAGACTTGCTCCACCACAGCGGGCTGGGGTGGCGTCGCCTCTTGAGCTGGTGCTGGTGCTGGTGCCCCCGTTAGCCGGATAGTGTAATCGCGCAGGTGGTCCTGCTCGCGCGCGAGGAGGGTTGTTGATGTCGTCGCCATTCTGAATGCCGTGGCAGCTATGAGGGGAGGGAACATTGGATGGAGTGAGTTCGGGCGATGAGCCGGTTCAAGAAGTGTGAGTGAGGTGAGTGAGGGTGGGTGGGATTGAGCCGCCACCTCCCCCGTCCCGACTCCCAAGCCGCCGCCTCCTCGCTTCGTCCAAAGTCCCCCAGTGCCACGCTTTCATCGGCATCAATCTTCCATCCCCCACATTCCGGCCTTCCATCATCTATCGCTTCCCGCGACACACACACCTCGGTTCCGTAATAAACGTCCCGAACTCTGCGCGAGAGCTCGACTTCATGCGTGACAGCGGGACTTGAATTCCTTCCTGTTTTTGCTGCTGGGAAATATTGGGTTGACCCGTATCTGAACCTCCAGTCCACCACATCCCTCACGTTTCCCTCCCCCAGCCCTTTTCCCTCCAACATCCAACCCCCAAGGTCCTCTCACCCCAACTCCAAAAATGGACCGCCTCCTCCCCTCCCTCGTCGACGCCCGCGCCGAACACCCCCGCCACATCCAATCCCAACTCACCACCCTGCACCGCGCCCTCTCCTCGCACGCCGACCGCCTCTGCCGCTCCCTCGCCACCCACTCCCCGGCCGAGGCGGAAGCCGAGCTCGCCCTCGCCCTCGACGCCGTCCGGCACTGGTACGACACCGTCGACGTCGCGCGCGCCCACGACGACGAGTACGCCGTCGCCCAGGGCCGGAGCGCTCCCGGGCGACGGACGGCGTCGGGGCTGGTGGTGGTGCGTCACGGCGCGGGGGTGTTTGGTGTTGTGGCGGCGGTGGCGGCCGCGGTGAGGGGGGGGTGTTGTGTTGTTGTTGAGGTGAGTCGTCCGTCTGTTTGTGTGTGTGTGTGAGTGCTAAAGGGGACAGTTGCCTGCCGCGAAAGGGGAGCCGGAATGGAGGGTTGCGCTGCGCGAGGTGTTGGTGGGCGCGGGGATGGATGTGAATACCTTTTTCGTGAGCACGGAAGGGGTCGAGGATGGGGAGGTGCTGCGCGGGGCGGTCGTGGTGGACCAGGGAGGGGATCAGAAGCAGGGTTCCGCGAAGAGGGTGTTGGCTTCGGCGGCGAGGACGAGGACGGTCGCCGTGGTGGATCGGACGGCGGATCTGGAGGCGGCCGCGAGGGCGATTGTCAGGGCGAGGTTTAGCTTCGCGGGACAGTCGCCGTATGCGCCGGACCTGGTGCTGGTGAATGAGTACGTCAAGAAGGAGTTCTTCGAGGCCTGCACGAGGTTCGCAACGGGCGTTTTCGCGGCCCGGGGGGGCTCAAGAGAAGATCCCAACGAGAAGGAGGTAAAGAAGGCCATCGCCGAAGCAGAGGCAAGAAAAGAAGTCACCAGCTTCGGCTCCGACGCCTTCAAGCTCATCGAAGTCCTCGACCGGTTCGTTCCCCTTCCCATCCCAAACCCCCAACGTAACTAACCCCCCCAAGCTCCACCCCCCTCCTCAAAGCCAAAATAACCGGCCGCTACCTCCCCATCGCCATCTGCTCCAGCCTCATCGACGCCGTGTTCGCCCAAGAATTTGAGAACCCCCTCCTAGCCGGCTACTTCTTCGCCGCCCCCGCCTCGGCCAAGTACCTCGCCCAGTTCCTCCCCTGCCACCTCTCCCTCATCAACCACATCCCCACCACCCTCCTCATCGGCCCGGCCGCCCCCCTCGCCCACGCCCCCGACCCGCTGTACCGCTACAACCCCGACATGTTCACCGAGCCGCGTCCGCAGTTCGTTCCCCCCGCCGCCGCCCCGAGTGCCGCGCTCCGCGCGGTTGACGAGGTTCTTGACCCGAAGGAAAAGGCGGGACGACGAGCCCCTAACCTCCAGAAGCTCCGGGCGCTCGCGACGCAGGCGCTTAAGCCGACGGGGCAGCCGAAGTCGCTGCTGGAGCTGGATTTCTTCCTCTCTGGGTTCCTGCTCGGGACGACTGTTCTCTTGACGGGAGTGGTCACGGGTGTGGTGTATGGGAAAAGGGCTTTTGGGGTGTGGAGACGTGGATGATCAAACGGGAGATGGAAAGAGATAATGCAAAACTGAAGATACCAGACAGAGGCAAAAAGACAACACATATGCATTGCATATCCCTCATGAATCGATCCGTGCAGGGGTCGAACCTGCAACCTCCTGGTTCGAAGCCAGACGCTCTGCCATTGAGCCAACGGACCTATTTTCTGATGGAGATTCATGGGCGTATCCTGTCCGTTGACGTGTGGATGTTGAGCTTTTTTCCCGGGGTGCTCGGGTGAGGGTGGTGATCCACCGGTTGTGGATGTCGTGATGCACGACGAGGAGGTGGCAGGGACTTGGGTATTTGACGGAGGTGGAGTTGGGAGTTCAAGGGACTTGGGATTTGAGCAGTTCAGTGTTTGGCAGTGTCACGGCACTTTCAGACTTGGATGCAATATTCCAGCTCGTCTTGCTGCTGTCCAACCTGTTGCTGTGCTCCTATGTTGCGGTCCTGGTCTGGTCCATCAATGTCGGGCTGGAAGCATGCAACTCATCATGCGGACTTTGTCTTGCAACACTACTGCTACTGTGATGATTGCCGGAAATCGACACTAGGCGGTGGCAGTTTTCCTACATGCCTGGATGCTGGCGAGTCTCGTGAGTTGTTTTGTTTGTGAGTCCTCCATTTCTGTGGAAAAGGGGGTGTGGTCCACTCCCAAACAACGGAAGCGACACATGCAGTCAGCCCGCTCTTGAGTGTCCATTTCCAGGAACCTTTCAGGGTTGCGGACTGTTTCTTTTCTTGTGCCTTCAACAGGATCCCTATACCTCCATCTCTCATCACGAGGCCCGACAAGATGCCCCAACCTCACCCCCTTCAACTCCCCAAACCCTAACCCCCCTTCCCCAACCATCACCACCACCCAGCTCCCCCCCCACCCGCGAACCGCGCCAACCAAAACACCCTCACAGTCACAACCCCGTCTCTCCGTCCGTCACATGGAACCCGACCCCATTCCTTAGCCCGCCTACCAGCCCGGCACGAGGCGTCCACGCACTCCGCACTCCGCACTTTAGGCGGTTTTTATAGCGCCCAGCCCAGCGCCCAGTCCATCCAAGACGGGAGTCCCCCCCACCTCCCGCCCCCACCGTTCCGGCGCCCGTCTTGGGCGCCGTCGGCGCGCCCTCAGTGCCAAAGCCCCTAACACACGCATTATACCCCCCTCCCCCACCGGGCCGGCACGCGCACTTCGCATCGTTCTTTTACTCCCCGACGACACCACATCGGCAATTCATCATGTGCGGCTCGCCTTGCCTTGCCTTGTCCTGCTCTGACCAGTGAATATTGCTTGCTGGGGATATACGACGACGACGACGACGACGCTGGTTTGTTTGAGTTGTCTCAACGACAGTCAAGTCATCGCTTTCTGGTGGCTGCATTTGGATCGGTTACGTCAGTTGGGTGGAGGGCATCATCAGACAGCTTCTCTTTATAGGAGATTCGGCATTCTCCAGCGACGAGGTGTTGTGACCCGAGCATATCGATTCACAAACACCAAGATCATTTCTCAGCCACGTCAGACAAGCATCCCAACATGGGCAACAACACCCCAAAATCGCCGCCAGAGGCCCTCTCGCCCGTCCACCTATTCTCCCATGGCTCGACCATGATGCTCGGCGAGGACAGCGCCTCGGCCCGGTACTGGGAGCGATGCGGCGACGAGGCCCTGGCCCACGGCATCGAGCACGTCGTCATGATGGTACCAACCCGACCCCAACACGAGACAAGAACAAGACAGCTAACCCTCACCTCAGGGCGCCCACTGGGCCACCTCTCTGCCCGGGGGGATCCTCATCTCCGCCAACCCCAAGCCGGAAAAGTCGCCAGTCGCCCTGGTCCACCCGTCCAAGTACAAGCCCTACGTGCTCAACCCGGACGTCGACTACGTCCCCGTCCTCCAGGAGCACTTTCGCGCCGCGGGCATTCCGTGCGAGGCGGACCCGACGTTTGACTGTATGCTCTCCACCGCGGCCCATCAAAAGGCAAACCAACTAACACCATCAAGGGATTCACGACACGTACCTCGTCTTGATCCGCATGTTCCCCCGCGCCTGTCCCCCAACAACCATCATCAGCATGAACGGCCTCTACGATCCTCACCTCCACGTCGCCGTGGGCGCGGCACTCCGCCCGCTGCGAGCCGCCCGCCACAAGACCCTGTTCGTCGGCTCCGGCGGGTCCGTCCACAACCTCTTCCGCAATGTGTGGGGTCCCATGCTGCGATACCGAGACAACTTTGCCCAGCCGACCCCGCCCGAGCCTTGGGCACTCGACTTCCGGCAGGAGGTCATCGACACCTTCTGCGCCGGCTACGAGGAGCACGTCCCCGCCGACGAGGCCGTGTACGGGCGTGAGATCCGGAGCCCGAGGGGTGTCGGGGGTCCGTTGCTGCGGCGCAAGGCCGTCAGCTTGATGAAGCACCCGCGATATCGGGATGCGCACGCGACAGACGACCATTTCATGGCCACCATGTTTGCTGCTGGACTCTGTGGGGGGAAGGGGGATGTTGATGCCGTCGGCGTGCTGGGGGCTGAAGATTGGGAACTGACAAACATGTGCAATACTCAGTTCACTGTTGGGGGATGGGAGGGTTGGTGATGATTGGTACCTACCTAGTCAGTAACAGCTCAAGCTTGATCCGAGCTGCTTTTCCACGCCTCCCTCATTGTGCAATGACAATCCATCCATGTTGGTCCTACATTTCCTCATAGCAATTGCGTTCCCGGAAGAGCGGTGTGCAAATGGGTGGCTTCTGGGGGATCTGGATGACCGGGTGATGATGATCTGTGGACAGCACTGCCGCTTGAGTTTTGATCATGTCGAGGGTCGGGTTGGGAGCCTTTTCCGCATCCCCCTCCGCAAAGGACAGGCAAGAGATGAAAGGCAAGCGATAACGAGGGCGTACTGAGCTCACCTCTGATCCCGCTAGCCGGGCCCCCCTTGCCCGATCGCCTCCGAACAAGGCCGACGACGAGATGCTCAAGGATTCTTCAGGGACAAGGCGACGGCGATGCCAATATTCTTCGCCCGTATCCGCCTCGGAAGCTTCTTCCCTTGACCTCGAGTTCAGTCTGACAATGACCATAGACGGGTGCTCGGTCAGAACCAAAATAGCAGCGCTATTGCTGTTCTGTGGAGCAGCCGCGAAGTCGATCGGGGCGGGAATCGGACTGGTTGTGATCGATGTTGACACCCCTTCGACCCGTTGACTGCCAAGCAGAGAAGGGGGCTGGGGGGAGGGGGGGGAAGAACTGTCAACGTCATGCCTCGCTCTGTGTGCGCCTGTACGCCAGTATAAATGTTGAGATCCATAATTGTCCAATGAGTAGGTCGCCGGTGTGTGTGGTTTTGACAGGACACGGCATATCTGGCGACGCGAAATGGCCGACTCGGCGACGTGCCACAACGTGCTGTGAGGCGGACGTCGTCGAGACCCCAATCTTTAACCAAGGCCCAAGCAGTTGCACCGGCGGAGAGCGGAGACTTGCCTGTCTCAGCCATGCCGTTCCTTGTCGTCCGAGGGGGTAGCCTCGCTGGTTGGGGCGTCTCTGGTCGACTCGAGCCGCACACGGCTGTTGACGGACACCCGGAGTCTCCTCGGTCGTGTCGTTCTGCAAGGCTGACGGGGGCGTAGGTTGCGGAGGTTCTTCTGACATGGCTGCCCATGTCTTGAGGAGGGGCGGCGGTCAGTAGCGACCGGCCACTCCAATGGAACAAGCATCAGTGTTGCAAACGGGGTCCTTCTGCCCCTGAACGACGATCCAGAGGGCACAGCGCGAATGTTCTGATCGCATGCCGTGGTGCGGGATGGTCCAGGTGCGGCGGTAACGGGTAGCCGCATGTGCTAATTGCATCACGCCCCGAGCCCCCGGCACTGGTGCGGTCAAGGCCGCTGCTACAGCCGTCGCCGTACAAAGTATTCGTTGCGGAACGCATGACGTCCGCCCCAGAGTCTTGAGCGAGGGTCCGGTAGGTCCAGAGCCCTTGTGGTGGATGGCGGTCACTTTGGAGGCTCTCGCGAGGAGAGGTGAGCCGACTCCAGACCTAGGAACGAGCGGGTACAATGACACACCTCTCTCCCCACGTCAGCCACCCGTGACTTTGGTGGTCGTACCTGGCTCGAAGGGGCCAGCATTCCGAGTGTAAACATACTTCGACTTGCACAGCATCCGAGGGCTCGGGCAAATCAGGTCCTGAAGTGCATGCCGCGAGAGTCCGTAGCTCCCAGCCCGGTCCAGAAGCAGTTGCGCGCCGGCAAGTTCCTGGTATCTCTCGTCCACGACGACACGGCGCCAGTAACCGATGTAGAGAGTCCATGGAAGAGGGGTCCTGTCAGCCATCCGCCATCCGGTAGTCGATGAGGCCCTCGTGGCTTCCCCCACCTGGCGCGCCACCATCAGAGGGGTGCCATGATCGCTATTCGGGGAATTTCGCCGCGGAGATCGAGTGAAAATTGTCGGAATCGAAAGGGCGGCCAGACTTTCGTCATCAGAGCACTTGTTCGTGAGACTCGGCCCGTCCTGTACGCTCGACTGTCAAGGCCAGCCACGGAAACACGGTGGAACGTGTCAGGCAGGGAGGGTGCTGGAGACAGTGAGCCTTCGAGACAACGAAACCATATCTCGTACCTGGGACGGGGCGTCACCGGTGACATGGGCACTGAGGCTGGGTCGTAGGTCTCTCCCAGCATCCAAAGACCCCGACAACCTGGCTCATCTCTGCCCTTCATCTTGCGGCAGCAGAAGCCCTCCCTCGTCCTGGCACGCCACGAGAAGGACTGCCTGTGAATACACGAGGTTGGGCGAGGATGAATGGGGGTTCGGGGATCAGGCGAGGAGGAGGGTTGGTTCCACAGACTCTTGAAACCGAGCTGCAGGAACGGCGAATGCTGTGGACACGTCCTCTGAGAGAGAAGGGCGACAGCATCTCAACAGTTGAGGGGAGGCCATGATGTGCGCCGGGGTGTGAAAAGTCTGGCTCTTGAAACGAGTAAGACTCAAACCTAAGGGTTCCCTGAGATGGAAGCCGGGTCGTGCAAGAATTTTCTGTGTAACGGTGAGACGGGCAAAAGATCAAGGGTCTTGAGAGAGGTGATTGTGAGGAACCTGGAAGTTTTTTTCTGAGGGCATCGTCATTTTGGAAGTGGAATGATCCAAG